TCTCCCCCCCCACCCCAGCAAAGAGGGGCCCTGGCAGGAGGGAGGGAACCCAGAGTCTTACAGTTCAAGAACACCTAGCTCAGAAGGAAAGCAGCCCATGTGTGGCTAGGGAGGGAAGTGGACTAGGCCACAGCCACAATTCTTTCTGCCCAAAGAAGGAGCAAAAGAGCTGTGGAAGATGGGCCGGCTGGCGAGGTGGCCCTTGGAGGATGAGGTTGATACAATGACCAGGCTAAGCAGGGCACAGACTCAGTATGCACCATGAAAGGAGAAAAGTCACAGCCTTCTGACCCAAATCCTTAGATATTACACCAGACACAGAACAGCTACCCCAGAAAACAATGCTTGTAAAGGGCTAGAAGCACTGGTGACCCTCATGTGCCCAGATTGTGGTTCAAGGAAGGCAAACTGACACATGTGTGCACCGCCTTCAGAGCAGTCATGACTGATGGATTGATTGATTGTCTCAAAAAGATAATAGATCACAAGTAGGCCTGTGGTCTGGAAGTTGAGAGATTACATAATACCAACAAATATGTTCAGGAACGGGCATGTGAGTCAACAGATGCCAACAGCGACTATCAAATCTATCCAACTGTTCTTTGTAACATCTCAAGATTGCAAACTTCCACATGTGGAACTTTACACATTTGGAATTAATCCTGCAGAACTGTATTTCTAAATTCATAGCCAGCTGCCAGTAGCTCATACCCCTAGCTACTCAAGAGGCTGACACTGGGAAGATCACAGTTCAAAGCTAGCCCACACAGAAATGTCTGTGAGATACCACCTCCAATTAATTAGGAAAATGCTTGGACTGGAGGCATGACTCAAGTGGTAGAGTACCAGTGTGAACAAGTGTGTGAACTCAGAGTTCAATCCTCAATGCTAACAACAACAATAATAATAATAATTCACAACTTAATGGGGAAAAAAGAAAGAAAAGAAAAGCATGCAGAAGGCTTCTCTGGAAGAGGAGAAAGTACATCTTATCCACTTGGAACCCAAGAGAAGGAACTCTAAACCTTTCAAGTTATGGGTCCAAAACTCTAAGAAGAAAAGATAGTTCCAGGAAACCAATTATGTCACATCAGTGGACCAGAACAGAAATTCATGGCTTAAAATTTTATGGCTATGTAATGTTCTGATTTGTCAAGGAAGTGCTAACAGTATGGGAGCTGAAATCTTTGATATCTTAAGGGTATGCTCCCGTGCCTTCAACTTTACAAGACTGGGTTTGAAGTTGGAATGGGGAGCTAGGAAAGTTCCTCCTTTGTAAAAATTAAACGGTTCTCATTCATCAGTTTCCTTGCACTTTCCCAGGCATATGAACAAGAAGCAATTATGGTGCCAACGTCCAAAATATAGCAGGTCCCACAACCAGAATGAGTCACAACTGATTCTCCCATAGTGAACAAGCAGAAGGCAGCCCAGCCAGGCGGGGCTTCCCAAGTGTGGCGTGTCTAGGCAGGGTGTGGAGGGGCCAGGAGCCCATGTCCTCCAGCAGACAGTCTCATGCAGGCCTGGAACCCAGTGTTTGCTTGTGGACGCTGGGGCCAGGCACCAGGCCCGCGCAGCAAGAGCCGGTCCACGTCCCTCTGGCTCTGTTCTGTGTCTTCACTTCACTTCCTGATGGTTCTTTTGCAGAACACCCTGGCCAAGGCTGCAGTGAAGGAACTCGCCTCCCTGCATGGCACCAAGTACACCTATGGTCCAGGAGCCACCACGATCTGTGAGTCTTACCTCCAGCCAGGAAACCATGGGCCTCATGAGCTAAACACTCAGAGCAGGAAGCTTTGCCTCCCACTGGTTTTTACGAGTCACGTAATCATTTTCCTAGTCAAGAAATGCCCTGTTCAGATCTGTTTTGTGGGGTGACACTGGACTTGTTCTTAAAAAAAAAATCAAATGTGGCACCCTCTGGTTTTCAGACTAGAGAGTTATCCTCTACTCACACAAGGAAATGGGTTGTAATTATAAAGACAAAGATGGCATGTCTTCAAATCTCTGGACGATGGTTGTTGTTGTTTTCCACTCCCTCTCCTACTCTCTGCTTATTTCAGATCCTGCTGCCGGCGGCTCTGACGACTGGGCTTACGATGAAGGGATCAAATATTCCTTCACCTTTGAACTCCGGGACACAGGTAGATACGGCTTTGCGCTTCCTGAGTCCCAGATCCGACCGACCTGTGAGGAGACCATGCTTGCTGTCAAGCACATCGCCAACTACGTCCTCCATAACCTGTACTAGCCAGGCACCCGGCCGTACGGCGCTCTGTCCACTGCTTATCTATCCTGAACTCTGATTTTAATGGGGCTGAATGAAGGTTTTATACATCTTAAGCATTCTTTTTTAAGCTTCTAGGTCTATTAAACTACTTAGATCTTTTTTAACTGATCATAATAAAAGTGAGTCACTGTACCTGTCAAGTATGGCATAGTGTCTGCTTCTTAGAGTGGGAAAAGCTGTGAATAAATAGGCAAAGGGTGTGCAAGAGATGAGGTGGTCATGAAAGGGATATCCGGGGAGATGAAGTGGCCGGCCGTTGGTTGGACAACACCTCAGAGTATACCAGATATGAGCACAGCCTCATGATCAAAACATGGAAAGGAGAATGAAGGGATGCCTTGGTTTGGCTCCTACGTCAGCTCATTCAGTGGGCTGTCTGCTATATGCCAAGAATTTTATTCAGCGATTCAAGATAATGGTAATAATAATAAAGAATTGTAACACTTCTGCCCTCGTAGACCGTTAGAGAAGACAGACATGAAGTAAATAACCAGTAGTTAATAACTAGGTACTCACTTGACACTAGGCAGGCAGGTATGAGGTAGACTGCAGAGAGAACAAATGTGGCATGAGAAGAGGAAAGAAGGCCCCTTGGGAAGCTTCAGGAAGAAATGGGTCTCCAGGAGCAGGACCCAGTGGGCACCCCCTTCAGGCCCGGGGCTCTTCAGAGGGTGGAGTGGAACATGAGGAGGTGAGGGGAGATGGGTAAGCCTGGGTGAGGTAAGGCCCATAACCGGTGGAGCGTGGAGGGCATGTCCAGGGCCTGGCACAATAATGCTGCCGCACTGAGGATGTTGTCTGTGGAGTAGTCAGACGGGTGCTCGTGTGCTGGGACATGGACGGCAGACTGGAAGTGACCAACTGGGCCAGTGAAAGAGGCGGAAGCCACTCCGTCATGGGCACACCACACGTGACATGATATTCTCCAGGGTTAGAACGACAGAAGCCAATGGAGGAAAGTACTTTGCCACATTCAGTTGTTAGAACAAGCATTAGAGTTATCATTAGGGAGCTTGTCTTTGCTTTAAAATCATAGAATAAAATATGAAATCACTATTTCCTATATGGAATGAGGGAAAAATGGGCTCATCAGACATAATGTGTTAAAATGTCTATAATGATGTCCTAATCAGAAAAAGAACCATTTGAATCACAATTTATTTGGAAGTTGTCCAAGCCAAAGAATGACGAATTTTATTAACAGCCCACTAGATGGCGGCAGTGTAGCTATGCCAGTATACTGAGCATTCATCAAAATAATTCAGTAATTCATAATCTACATAGGCAAATCAAGGCCTGTAAGTGTAAAACTTAGTGTCCCATTAAGTTTTCAGCATTATATTGATGGTAACTTAGAGCATCAAGTTTACTTTGCTGAGTTGTCACCGCCATCTTTCAGTTATATCCATGGCCCAAACTCAGCAGGAGTCACCGTAGACTCTGTGTCCATGTACTTGAGGACACAAGGCCTTGGGGATGCCTGCCTTTTCCCTATACACAGGTTCAGTACATGAAGGTTTTTCTAAGGAATGCAGAAATCCTTCTTTGATGAGGAGGAATGGTGTTTCTGTTGTCAATACACACCTCCCCCCCCCCAACACGTCTCTCTAACCAGCACTAAGAAGGCTAAGTGGAACTGGGAGGGATCACCATTTCAATGACAGCTAGAGCTACATAGCAAGTTCTGGCCTGCATAATGAGAAGAGAAACAGATAGACAGACAGACAGAGATAGATACACAGCCAATTAAATATGGAACCATGACTCTAGGATGTTTCATATCTAGCCATGTCTGTATTTGCCAAAGTGAAGAGATAGTTTTCAAAGGCAAATTCTAAATTATCTGATTTGAAATGTATGCTTTACCTATGATCCTGGGTAATCATGTAACTCTCCAAATAATTTACCACAAGTTGAGTTGTATTAAAGACTAAAGAATGTCCCCGGATGCTTTGTCACATAGTAAACAAATAGCTTTGATTAAATCAGCTTTCAAAAGCTGTCACTTGGCACCTAGCAAATCCACACTCTAGAGACAATGTCTAACAAGTAAATACTACAGCACCAAGGTTTTCTTGTTCTCAACAAGTCCTCTGGGTGTTTTAGGTAAGGGTGACCTCAAATGACAGGGAGACGAGAAAGCAAGTGGAAACGCAGGTTCTTCTGCAATGCACGCTTCTTTAGAAAAGGTATAGAGTCACAAGTCTACATAGCTAACATACCAATGCCTTCTATTGTTACCTACATTTCATATATCTAAACTATCTGATACAAAAATGTTTTTAATTTGATGATTACAATCAAGTTTCAAACACCTGCTTTACGTTATTAAGGACTATGCACAACGTTCTGGGGCCAGAGACCCAAATCCATCTGAGGTTAGCAGAGAAAATATAAAGCCTATGGATGGGTCCTTTAATACAAGCTTGGTGGTAGCGTCACATTTCAGAACAAACAAATGGATTCCGATCTGAGCTCTGTGAACGTACTAAGCCCACCACCTCAGATGTGTCATTTGCTAAAACATTGCTTTCCATTGTTTTTCTGTCAAATGAGCATTTCTGATGGTAAGATGAGATAAGCGGCAGAGACCGTTAAAGTTGGGGTTCTTCCTCCCCATGCTCCCAGCCAAGAAAACCCTGGGTGAGAGGAAGTGAGCAATTCCTCAAGATAAAGGCAGAGGCACAAAACCCGGGAGGGTCTCAGTCAAGCACACAACCGCCATGAGGCTCATCCTGCAAGTGGTTCTGATCACAGCTACCCTGGCAAGAGCTCCTGTTCGCTTCGACAGGTAGATGTCACCCCAGGTGCCCGCATGTGGTGGGAAGAGGATTGTGGGAGGTCTCCTCACCATTTACAGAGCTTGTCTTTCATCTTCCTGAAGGCACAAGGTATTTCGCGTGAAGCCCCAGGATGAGACCCAAGCAGAAGTCATAACGCATTTGGCCAAGACCAATGAGGTAACGCACTTACTTACAGGAATAGTTTATCTTTCCTTTGTTTTCTGAAAGTTCCTGCTTCTTTCTTCATGATGCCTAAGCGTAAGTGGAAATGGCAGACTTACCTGGATAATCCAGCCAATGCACAGTCTTCCACCTGAGTTGGTTTGTATGGAAATCCTTCTTGTTTTCCCTCCCAAAAGCTTTGCAGACAGTGACTTCTTCTTGGTAAAATTATAAATTATGGGATTGTTCTTGACACCATTAAAAACCAGGGACTCCTTTTCCTTCCTGTGGAACTTCTCTCTGTCCTCCCAGCTTCTAGGCCAATTGACTCTAATGATATAATTGCTGTGAAGGGATGAACTGATGGTGTCAAAGCACTGGGTGATACCGAGTGTGACCCCGTCCGAGAACAGGTACACTTTGAAAGGAAACTCCTTTCAACCCAACAGGCCTACAGAGCCATTGGACGCTGACCCTGCTGTACCCGTGCAAGGCTCACATTGTGCCAGCCACGGCCCACGCACCATTCCAAAGTCTCCAACAGCCTGGCAATGCCATTGTCACAGTCTAACCCACTTAGAGCAAACCAACACCAAGAACTGAGGTTCGAAGAGGGTAAACTGAATGACCCAACAGATTACATACATCAGATTTGAATCTCAGAACTAAATCTGGGCTTCATTCCTATCTCCACACGAAATCAATCAGTAGTTCTTGGTATCCACATCTATCCATCTCTCCATTCCACAGCCTTCATCAGTGTCCCTCTTCCCTTTGCTGAGATGGCTGCAATGGCTCCTTAACTGAAGTTCAGAGTCCTCATCCTGTCTCCCACATCTGTAGTCAGTGCCCTCTTTGTCTCTGTCTCTGTCTCTCTTCCTCTCTCAAACCTGGCACTGTTTCTCTCCTTTTAGTCAAGGAGCCATAGGCTTAGGTTCAAACCCCAGTTGTACACTAGCTCCCCAGCCTTAGGCCAGTGACAGAGCAACACAGGTCTCAGTGGCTGGTAAACAGATATCCTCTAAGGTTTTGGGGAAGACAGAGAAAACTTTGAATATCACTCAGAAGCTGGTGTGACATAGTTACTACCACACAAGCATTTTCCATGTTTTCTGTTGATGTTGGTGTGAACTAAACCTTTTTTTTCCTGAACCTCCTTGGCTCCTTTGCTCTCTTTCTTCCCCTTTGAAACAACACAAAGATCAGAACTTTCCCTACCTTGCCGCCGTTTCACATGAAGAATGTGTTTCTCTTCTTTATCTAGTTAAGTCTTGGCGATTCTTTACAGTGTGGCTTGGTCCGTGTTTCCTGCAGGAACTGGCCTGGTTTCCTCCTAGGACACAAACATTGGTTAACAGGTTGGAAAGGACCACAGATGCCTGTAACTCCCACACCAAACATCTCCCTTTTACAAGGTGCTTACTCAACTCCTCATCTCTGTGCTTAATAACTGCACAGCAAAGTTTTCTGGACTCTATGTGCTTATTCCACATTACCTTGCTAAGAGAAGAAACTACTATTTTGATTTGCCTTTAAATCACACTGTATCTCTCTTGTATCCAACTCCACACTGTAACTTTCCCATCAAAGAAAGAGACATATTGGTTGGTGTACAGCAGCTCTCTATGTCTCATAATGGGTTTCAGAGAGCCACGGTGGGACCGCCTCAGGATCACAGTCTTGAGGTGAGAGGGGGATACTCCCATCTCTTAGGTGGGAAACTGGCCCTTCGTTTGGTTACACAATGGGCTCTGATTTTGAAGAGCCCCAAGAAATGGAGTGCTCAGAAAGTCGTTTTACCTGGATGCTGGCTTTCTAGCCTCATCCGCCACATTTAAAAATTTTCAGCTGTGTGGAGAGAGAGAGAGAGAGAGAGAGAGACATCAGTCAGTATTTACTAAGTTCCTGCGTGTCATTGAACTTTTACACATTTCACAGTCTTCCAAATGCTCTCCAGGGAGTCCTGTGAGCCCTATTTTCCAAGACAGAGAACTGTAACGTATCCAGAGACATATGGCTTTTTTTTTTTAATTCAGGGCTGATAGGAGTGAGGGACTGTGCTTTCTTATTGTATACAAACTTAGGAAGTCCCGACTTTATGAGACATCTGGTTTTGGGGCATGATTATGGCCGAGAAGATACATATTTAGTATAAATGCCCAAACAAAGTCAGAAACTACAGTTAATTAGGAAATAATTCTATTCAACTCCACAATGGCAGAAGCAAAGAAATTATCCAAAAGAGCTGTCCAGACATTTTTGCACTGCTCCATACAATGTCCTAAGACAGTGCTCAGTATAAATGACTTCCTAATATTCAACAGTACTTTAAGTATATTTTCAAGAAAAAAATCTTAATTTATATAAAAAAAGAAGGGTCCGGGGCTGGGAAGGTGGCTCAGTGGTAGAGTGCTTGCCTTGCATGCCTGAGGCCCTAGGTTCTATTCCTCAGCACCACGTAAGCAAAAAGAAAAAAGCCGGAAGTGGCTCTGTGGCTCAATTGGTAGAACGCTAGCCTTGAGCTGAAGAGCTGAGGGACAGCGCCCAGGCCCAGAGTTCAGGCCCCACGACCGGACCCAAAAAAAAAAAAAAAGAAGAAGAAGGGTCTATCTTAGATTAAACCAAACCCCACATTTCTTTCAAAATGTATAACTCACACTCATTTCTTAATAATTATGTGTTGGGTGAGCAAACAAACCAACAACAATGACCAACAGCAACCTCATCTCCACAGCTTGATTTCTGGTACCCAGACACCATCCACCACGTGGCTGCGAACATGACAGTGGACTTCCGAGTCAGCGAGAAGGAGTCGCCCTCCATCCAGGCTGCCTTGGACCAGAGTAAGATGCACTATGAGTAAGTCCTTCACAAATACTCGTGTGTGTGGATACTCGCGAGTTTTGGGGAACCTTCATCCATCAAGGGAAACATTCACTGGAGGTGTTTGTTAGACTGACTAAAAGCTTCCTCTGTACAATGGACTGTTCACTCCAAGGAGACCCAGCCCAGGGACTTCCCTCTTACATGGGTTCTAAGCTGCAAGGATGACATGAGCTCTGCGTACCATCTCTGAGCCAGCTCTGAGGCATAGCGCCACGGAGGCAGGCAGGGAGCCCCTCATCCCAGCCATGGGGAGCCACCCCAGAGTTCTTCTGAAGCCCAGTCTCTACATTCGCCTGATATATGAACAGTCTGTGCTCATCTCTAGATAAGCAGAGCTGTGACAATGGAAAAATACATAGCAAATGAATAGTCCTTTATAAGAGAAATTTTACCCAAAGAAATTTCTTTTAAAACAGTAGAGGGGGGTCTTGAACTGAAGAAGAGAGAATTTCAAATAAAGGTTTATAAATGAGGAAATTAGAATGTATCAAACAACAATGGTTCCCTGGGCCCTTCTGTCACAGAGGAGAAAGGAGACTATCGAGGAGTGTCTCAAATCAGTGCACAACTCAGAAGACAAAATGTGGTTTCTATGTTCAGACAGGCCATGGTTTGATGTGGGGAGGGCCCCAGGTTTAGGTTCCAGGCCTTGTCATCTTCTGATGCCCTCAACAATCAAAACTCCACTCAGCACTCACTTCTGTTTGAACTTGTTGTTTCATGACTTCACCCCCCTCGGTGTTTTAGTGCAAAAGACCTTCTTCTGTCTGAGATAAAGGAAGAGTGCTCATGTTAGCAAAGTGGCTGCATGGAATGAGGGTGCCGTGGTTCACAGAGATTCTATTGTATTTATGATTCTAATACAGCATCACAAATACACATAAACCCTACCAAAAGCAAGGGAAGTAAGCCGAACATGTGTGCTCTGGTTTTAAAAGTATCAGGTCATTGTTTCTGTGCTCTCCTTCCAAGAAGTTAACAGTCACGTGGAAGTTTATAAATTGGGAAAGCCTAACTAACTCAAAATTAAGTGAGACCAGCTTTTCTGCGTTTGTAAATTGCACTATTAAAATCAGAAATAGACACTCCATAGATGGACATCCCAAGACCATAGAAATTCATAGTACATTCTAGGCTACCTGCTCACACTGAGCTCAGATGACATATTGATTCTTTCATCTGAAAGAAAACAAACAAACAAATACCTGGCCCAAGTCACCAGTGTTGCTGTGTCTCAAGTCACTTTGTAGCCAGGTTTCTGACTCTGGGCCTTACTTGTAAAACCCTGGGCAATATTAACAGAGATCTAACATGGCCTCCCCAGAATCGACCAACTGAGCATCCCGCCACCTAAAAGGAAAGCTGTGCGCTGCTCTAATTGTGTATAATTTGCCTTTAACAGCAGGGTTGGTAGCCCTTATAATATACACAGGAAGCTGGGTACCTTCCATGAGCAGAGGCATGGAAGGAAATCACTGGAAGACACCCAGGCAGGTAGCTGGCATCTTTCATCAGATAACACTTTGGTCTTTGTTCATTGTGGCCTCTCCTGTCATAACACAATTCTGCGCCAATCAGACGTCTAAAGCCAAGTCCTCACAGACCGTGTTCCTCATTTTGTCTGAGGCTGAGATCGTCTCTGCCACCTCCATCAAGAAGCAAGGCGTTCAGCCTCCTACAAAAATTAGTTTTATCTAATTAAGACATGATTTCCTGAAATTGGCCCAAATTAGCTACAGTTGTGGGAGAGCCACATAATTAGTTGCCTTCCTCAAAAAATATAAATATGTAAAGTGATCTGCACAGACAAGAACTATTTAAAATCTTGTCTCCAAATACTAATTATATGGATAATTTTATTTGCATATTAATTCCATGACTTACTTGGCATCAGATAGTAACAGAAGAGGATTCTAAGAACAGAAACATCTGGTTGGACCCAGGCACCCGGCTGAATAAGACTGTGTCAAGGGGCTGTTTGACACACGATGTACTTAGACGACCCCCTCCCCACCGTGCGTATGAGCCACCAATTAGCTTAAAGCCTCTGTGTATGATATTATTTTTAATTCTTGAAAAAATTAAAATACTAAGCCAGATTTGATTTTGAAGTAGCAAGCTTCCTGCCTCTTTGTGTACACTTCTACCAAAAAACAAAGCCAAATCTAAGAAACATAATATGTGTACACTAGCAAACCCAAATGGGCAGAGGAACAAAAGTCGAATGGAAAGCAGACTCGATTCACTGGCCTGAGCCCCTGGGGGCGGGCACTATGTTTAGGGAGATTTAGCAATGCAAACCTTGAGGGCTTTTTGCAACATTCAGAGAGTCAGTCTTTGCCATTGTCTTCTCTTTGATCAACAATTAAAATGAGAAAATAAAAAGCCACTCATAAAAAGTGGAAACCAGAGCTCTTTCTAGAGTGGGTAGCAACCACCCAAAATGGGATTCTGAGTCCTCTCGGATCCTTTAAAAATTAGATTCAGTGCAGTGTTCCCCATCCACTCGGTCTGCAGCAGCGCCTGCAGCAAGCTGGCCCTGCCAGTCCCTGTACTGTGCTTTGCCGGCTCTGCTGATGGGAGCCAAGATTCATGCCGGGCAATGCCCACCCCCCACCCCCACCCCGTGCTAGCTAAAATAATTAGGAGTATTTCACGTTTATATAGTGCATCAGAACAGGAGTCAGTTCACCCATCGGCGAGAAGAGACTGAGAGGAAGAGCTCACGACCATAAGAAAATGAAGCAAGCAAGCAGGGAGGTCAGCGCTGAATCTGGTTGAAAACATGTATTAATTTTGCTGAGGCGGTTCTCAGCTTTGAGGCTCACCTTCCCTTCCCTGGAGGCCTCGCATTTCTATTGGCTTCAGCCCCGTTGTACTCTGGGTGGTGGGTCAGTGAGAAAATCAAAGATCAAAAGATCATATCAAGTACTGCAGAATATCTGAACAACGCAGGTCCCTGCTTCCTCTTTAGATAAGTAACTACACCATCAGAAGGCTGGAGGGGGTATTAAGGAAGGCACAGCTCCATTCTGCATTCAGGAAAGAAGCACAAGTGCATTTCATTGCCACAAGCAGGTGCCCCTTGATTTACGTAAAATCAGTGGGAAATGAGATAAACTCAAGTATCAAAATGCCCAATGCATCCAACTTCAATCTTTCCTTTCAGATATTTACACTGAAATATTTCCCACACAAATCACAGTTCTCTGTGCTGGAAAAAAATAGCTACTGAATACAATTTCCCTTTGGATGAAGAAGGATCACTATAAATAAGTAGGAATTTCCTTTGCTATAAGACAATTCTTAAGGTTTATAAAGGCTACCAAAGTTTGTCAGGCTGTGGGGCCCAGTCTCAGGGACCACGTCTCCCTGTGTTGGTGACATCCTTCCGTCCAGGCAGTCTTACCCTCCCTTCCTCTGTCATGTGCCACCATCTGTCAGAGACAGCCCTGAGCTGGCTTTCAGCAAGTCCTATTCCCAACATCCAATGCATTCCTTCTAGGTTCAACATTATTTTCACAGCTATATATAGAAGAAGTGAGGGTGTTCTGAATATATCCTCTGAGAGATCATATAGTTAACACACCAAGGAGTCTCATAAAAGACTTCAATGTAGCCTTATCTTCATGGACAACAATAAGTAGATATTGCTGTTGAGTTACCTTCATACATAATGATGGAAGACAGATTTCCCCATCAAAAGTGTGGGGAGGTGGGTAGAAATCTTAACAGAGAATGTAAAGTAGATGGTTGAGAGTGTACTGGTCTGGACTTCAGGGTTGAAGCCAGGCCTAGAGACACAAGGACAGCCAAACATTGGGTGACCAGCACCCTGTCCTTGAAATGAGGCAGTACTGAGGTGGAGTACTGACTCCAACGTTATCTTCACCGTGAGCAATCCTGCCTGTCTTCCCCCTCCAAGTCACACCAGCCATGCTCTAGCTCCTTGGTTATCCACAGGGTATGTGTTTGCTCAATAGTAAGATGGAGAGTTCACATGGACTGAGCCAACATACTCATGGTGTTACACCATATGTAGTAAGTGCTTTGGGCTAGTTAGTAAAGCCATTATCATCATTATTCTTACTTGCTTTTCTTCCAGCCCTCAAGTGTGAAATAACAAGGGATGGACAGTGTATCTGTGCATAAAATTATCTACCATTGCCTGTGCTGTATGTGAATGTGTGTATGCACACTTTGAAGGAGGACAGGGAATATTAAAATAGCATAGAAAGAGCCAGGTGTGAGGTTTAAAACTGTTTTAGTAGCCATTAAAAAAGTAAAAAAGCTATAGGGAAGATTAATGGTAATACTACATTTTACTTAACTGAATATGTGAAACATTGTACACAATTTTTATATTAATTCTTCAAAGCCCAGTGGTATGTGTATATGTATAGCAATGTCTATTTTTGGATGAGTCTGTTTTTCACGGCTAAACTCTGGCCCAGCTCTAGATAAATGGGGAGATCAGAAGGCAGACATGTGACATGTCGGAAGGAGATGGCTAAACAAGAATGATGAGGGAAAAGAGTAAGCTTGATTAAAGACAGAGAAGAAGGAAGAGAAATTTATCTGTAAATGAAAGATAGCTGTGGTTTTCTTTCTTGTGACAAAAAAAAAAATGTATGCTTATCATTTCCTGTCAAACAGAGTCCTGATCCATGATCTACAAGAAGAGATTGAGAAACAGTTTGATGTTAAAGAAGATAGCCCAGGAAGGCACAGTTATGCAAAATATAATAACTGGGACAAGGTACAGGATAAAACTCCAATTCCTCAAAAAAGTGACTGTCATCATTTGTCAGCCCGCTGTTTTCCTTTCTTTCTTCTAACTCCTCAAATTTCGATTTTGCTTTTAAAAGATTGTAGCTTGGACTGAAAAAATGGTGAAAAAACGACCTGAAATGGTCTCTCGGATTAAAATCGGATCTACTATTGAAGATAATCCACTCTACGTTCTGAAGGCAAGGAAAGAAACTCCAAGAACCACTCCTTACTGCTATTATTTTTTTAAGAATGAATTTAAGAATTGTGACATGGCAAAGCTAAGTTTGAGAAAGGGAGATGCAGATGATCGGGACTCTAGACAGCAATCCAGGAATAGAGAAAGGACAAGAAGCCCTGTCAGAGACGGTGCAGTGGGCCAAGCCAGACAGACTTTCCTCATTCCACAGCCTAAGGACAGCACATGACACTCATTACAATTCAGTAGAACAGATAATGAGGGTCAGGAAGAAACGTTTAAATATCATGCACTCACGCCACCCCCAAAACACTCCCATGAGCCATCTGAACACAACACTGACAGGAATTCCTTCTGTACCACAGAGAATGCGTGACCGGTAGACGCTGCTGGGTTACTCCACGTGTAAAGACAGCAAGCACTCCCAGGAGTGTCCCCTGAATGAGCCTAAACACTTATTGTCTTTGATCACCACCCCAAAACCAATGCACACTCTTATAGAAGAGCACCCTGCAGTTAGCTGGCTGTGTGTGTAAGCACAGCACAAACTCTCCCTGTTTAGGAAACCAGAAAAAAAAAAAAAAACCAAAGGGAACAGAGTAACTATAATCCATCTTTCCAAACACAGGAAGCTAGCAATGGAACAGAAATGCAAGGTGTGGTGCTTTTAAAAACTAAAGGAAGCTCTGACCCTGGGAACACTTTTCGGAAGAATATAAGGTAGCAGATCACGATTTGGGTCTATACACCATTTGTGTAAATACGGTTAGAGAGGAGAAAGAAGTGTTTGCAGGTTATGGAAGAGTTCTTGCACAACGAGGGGTCGATGCATGAACTCATGTATCTATTGTAAATGTATTTTTAAATAGATTGGGAAAGAACATAAAGGAAGAAAAGCCATTTTTATGGACTGTGGCATTCACGCTCGAGAATGGGTTTCCCCTGCATTCTGCCAGTGGTTTGTCTATCAGGTGAGTGAACTAGAACTCAGAAGTCTGATCCTACTGTCCAGCCTCTAGAACTTTCCAGCTGAGCAGAGCCACTTAACCACGGGAGCTCCTGAGTGCTGCTAAGGACCAGCAAGCTTTGAGCGGGCTTGCCACTGTGGTTATTATCAAGCTGACACCTCCCTTCAAACTTCCCCAACTCCAGCTGAGATTTTAGGAAAGTAAAGAAGATGAAAAAGCAAGATATGAAATCACCCTTTGTTACCTAATCTGCAATGTTGGTTTTTCTTTTTTCTTTCTTTCTTTCTTTTTCTTTCTTTCTTTCTTTCTTTCTTTCTTTCTCTCTTTCTTTCTGTCTCTCTCTCTTTTTCTTTCTTTCTTTCTTTCTTTTTTTTGCCAATCGTGGGGCTTAAACTCAGGACCTGGGCAACTGTCCCTGATTCTTTTGCTCAAGGCTAGAACTCTACCACTTGAGCCACAGTGTCACTTCCAGCTTTTTCAGTTATGTGGGACTGAGGAATCAAACCCAGGGCTTCATGTACACTAGGCAAGCACTCTATCACTAAGCCACATTCCCGCTTGATATTTCTTTAATGAGCTCAAAACACAGACCTTTTGTTTCTGTGTACAGACAGACTTTAATGGCCAGGCAGAAACTTGGAATTTTTGTATTTGAATGTCCTTTCCAAGTGAAAATAACACATTCTTTTTTTCCATCTTGTATTTCTCTCAATCTATACTGTACTCTGCTGCTTTCTTTTGCTCTTGCTGCTAACTGTTGTACATGACATTTTGGAATAAGCGTTGGGCCAGAGATGCGGTAGCCAGCAAAGAATCTGCCACAGGACTGACTTATAACGGTAGTTGCTCCAGCAACTACAATCCGAGATCTCTGCCCTTCAACCCATAAAGGAAATCACAGCACAAGACTGCCCAGAATCTCTTGTGGCTGGGCATAATGACACAAGCCTTTAATCTCAGGACCTCTTAAGAGGAGGGAGGTGAGTCGTGAGTTTGAAGCCAGCCTGGGATACATGGCAAGATTCCATCTCCAAAAAATTAAAAGCACATGTCTCTTGGCTCTGATAGAGATGTACCAGGGGCTGATGAGGCTTTTGGTAGTCACAGAATGCTCAAACAATTAACTTTATTTCAGAAAAATACTGATTGGTCCAATCTCTAAATTCCTGAGATTTTTATCTTTGTTTTTAGCTAATTTTACTGGTCGTGCTGGGCATTGAATTCAGGACATTTATAAGTACTCTTCTGCTGAGCTATACTTCCAGACAAGAATTTTTATTAATACAAAAATTCCTTAGGGGAAAATATATATATTCCTTGGAATATATATATTCTGGTTTCAGTAAATGGTTAGGAGTATGGCTCATGCTTCAGTGAGTAAGAGGCCTTGGGTTTAAACAAGAAGAGAGAAGGGAGGGAAAGGAGAAGGGAGAGAGGGGGGAAAGAGGAGCGAAAGGGAGGAGAGGGGGGAAGGGAAAGAGAAAGGAAAAGGAAGGGAAGAAAAAAAAGGGAAAGTTATTCTTTGATCTTATTTATAAATATTTATAGGCCCTCTCCAACATTTCCCGATTCCTGTACATATCGACAACTTACACTCATGTAAAGAAGTGAGAGAAAGAACTCTTCTGAAGTAAATTGTACTGTGAATTCTATACTTGGCCTCCCTCCTTCCTGTGAAACATGTATTGCATGCTACATTTGGAACACTTGGAGTCTGGATGACTAAAGCAGCTACTTGACGACTTCACTTTAATTCATGTCACCTCTGATTAAGAGGAACTTTTCCTATCGTATGTAGTTGCACCAATTGCGTCTTGCACACGTTTCTTGTATTCCGTATTTGTGGTCTATCTTTGTGTGGTTCAGGGGAACCTTCAACCTTGGGCAAATAACTCTTATCAAAACCATAGCTTCTCCTGTGGTAGCTAAATTTTATATTGTTAGCTGCATTTCTTCTTACTCCTGCAGGCAACAAAAAGTTATGGCAAAAACAAAATTATGACCAAACTCTTGGACCAAATGAACTTCTATGTCCTACCAGTGTTCAACGTAGATGGATATATTTGGTCATGGACACAGGTACGGCTCTGTTCTCTCTCATTTAAATTAAAATGACATATTACTTACTAGCTTTAATTATAATGTACTGTGTTTAAGATTTGGATAACTAGTTAATTCCAATTCTAAAAACTAGATGTTTTGGGTTTCTATTTAAGACTCAGTCAACTAAGTTTTCTGGTTTCAGTAAATGACATTGAAATAACATGACACTTTTGCTTCTGAAGATAGCAACATACACAATTAATGAATCCATAATTGTAAAGGAAATATATGATTCTATGCTGTGACAAATCATATTCTAGCTAAAAATAAGTTGCTTGAAAACTTTTATCAATTCATTGTCTTAAAAGGAAAGTCATCTTATTTCACCCATTTAGAACAGTATAGAGATATAATTGTATCAAAAAAGAGACGAGCTATCTGGTTTGTGTTGTATTGCTCTACTGTTGCTAAAATAAAATAAAGCCATTAATATTGAACTGTCAGACAGATACTGCCACATCAAACTATACCTTCAACCATCCCATTGTGACCAACTATACCAGTAGAAAGTAATATAATACAGTTACCACTTAGGTTACTGATCGCTTTCCAGTACTAGATGCTAATCAAGATTTTAAGACATTCACTGAGTTAGATGGCTAAAAATCATGCTTCTGAGAATATAACCAATTGCAAGAAAACACTGTGTGCTTTCTAGTCAGTGGGCTCTCGGGCTAGATAGATTTCTGCAGGGAGTCTGAGACAAAGGAGGCCGCCTGTCAGCATCTCCCTGCCCCTGCCCCTCAACTCCACAGAACCGCATGTGGAGGAAAAATCGCTCCAAGCACCACAACTCCACCTGCATTGGCACCGACCTCAACCGGAACTTCGATGCCTCCTGGGGTGGTGAGTCTTAGACAAAACATTGAGCATTAGGATGCTGATAAATTTCACGGATCCACCCACATTCCTGTAAACCGTAGGCACTCCCAGAGTGAGGGCCAATTGTTTTACCTAATATGCTGGGCAGGAATAACCACTACCCCAGGGGGGGTCAGGAGTACTTCTCTTTGGGAGGAGTGGGGAGAAGATGCTATTTATCTAGCTCTCTCTGGACACACATCTAGCTTGCTAAGGGAAGGGAGGGGAAGGCCCCATGAGTATTAAAAATTTTTTTCAGATAATCTGAAGAGAGACCAAAGCTTCCTGCTCCTCCTGTGCAGATAAAATTGATAAATAGCAGTGGTCAAAATCAGCACACAAGTAGTTCTTCAGAAACTTATTACAAAGAACCACTGGGGATGGAGGCGGGGGCAGGATAAGAAAGTGGAAAATAAGCCAGGCACCCAGTGGTTCACACCTGTAATCTTAGCTACTCAGGAGGCTTAGATCTGAGGATCATGGTTCAAAGCCAGCCCAGGCAGGAAAGTGTGTGAGACTCTTATCTTCAGTAAATGACTCAGAAAAAGCCAGAAGTGGAGCTGTGACTCATGTGGTGGAGTGCTAGCCTTGAGCACAAAGAGACTCAGAGACAGCACCCAGGCCCTGAGTTCAAGCCAAGGAAGGGAGGGAGGGAAGGAAGGAGGGAAGAGGAAAATAAAAACACAATGACAATCAAGGCATGCTACATCAGATGCTGCACACAGCAACCTTGCTGGTATAGGGAGATCTGAGGCCATGTGCTTCAGAGGGATGTCCTGGTAGACTAAATTCATCACAACCTGACGTGTGTGTGTGTGTGTGTGTGCGCGCATGTGTGTGTGCATGCATACGTGCTCATGCATGTGTGTGTGCACACATGCATGTACAATCTTCAGACACACAGAGCTACGAAAGTAGCAGCCTGGGAACATGTCCCCCCTCACCCACCCACACCCACCCCCGCACCTCATTTCACTATTTGGAGAACACACATCAGAAGGGCTGGGCTTTACAGAAACAACATTGGGTGATCATCTCATCCACACACATCTCCGTAGCTTCCCAGAGCAGTCACAACCCGTGTAAGGAAACCTACCCCGGCACTGCACCAGAGTCGGAGAAAGAGACGGCGGCAGTGGCAGACTTCATCCGGAGCCACCTGGAGTCCATCAAGGCCTACCTCACCTTCCACTCCTACTCCCAGATGCTCCTGTTCCCCTACGGCTACACGTCCAAACTGCCGCCCAACTACCAGGAGCTGGTGAGGAGGGGCAGTGGGGCTCAGCTCTTGTCTGTTCTTCATGAGCTTGACTTATGCGGAAGAAATGTCACATTGTTTGTTGCCAGAAAAAGAACTAATGAGGTTTGCCTAGATAATAAGATCTTTCTGAGAAAGAAAAAAAAATTAAAAACCAAGAGGATGGAAATGCCTAGGTCATTAGATTTCTACTACCACCCAGCCTTAGTATTTCCTGTAGGCCAAACTACACAACCACCCCTAGCCAGAGCCTAAGAACACTGCCAACCGTCACTAGTCCTGTCTCAGGCCCAGACTAAGAGATTCACTGTACCTTTATCCTCCTGATCAAATTGAAAATGACATTAATTCACTTACTGTCTAAAAAGAAAAAAACATAATGAGCAACTAAAAATAAGCTCTCTTCCAAAACTCTGGCCTCTTGTACGTTCCTTTTCTTTCTGTGAAAGCTGACTTGATCGTGACAGCTTTACAGAGAGGACTCTCCACCTGGATTCCAATGAATCAGAGGGATGCACGGGGTAAATGGAAGGATCAATATCTTGAGTTACTGAGGAAGAAAGAAAATAGTGGATAAAGTTCAGCATCCTAAATCCATTGGAGGTTAATCCAGAAAAGGCTGTGGTAAAAATACTGTCTCCAGAAGAAAAAAAAAAGGAGGTCCCAATTTTTGCTCTTATTTCAGTCAGTTGCGTTCAGCACAGCATGCGACTGCACTCAGAGCTGAGCTTTAAAGCAGCCCTTGTGTGTGCACACAAGTGCACAGAGTTAGTTATACGTAAGCTGAGAAGGGGAATGTGGGCGTTTGATTAATTTGTGTAGACAGGAGAATGCGATTTCAGCCCACTCTCAGGGAAGTGATATGATGGCATAGGAGAAACATCTCTTGAGTAAAGTGAAGGATCTTACCCAGCAACTGAATCATGTGGAAAACGTGGCTTCTTAGTAATAGCCAGTACCTACAGACACAGAAATATGCACACTCACTCCAATACCGCATTCACCCTGTTTACCTAGGACCACAGGAGCAGCCGTGATGTAACAGAGCCACTTTAAAGATAACGCCACACCTCCCTGCCTTTCACATTACCAAGTCCTGTAGCACAGGTGCCACCTATTAGAGAGGAAGGAAAGAGGGACACAGGAGAAAATGGGGATCTGGATGTGAGAGAGACAAATATCACCTGAAAGGAACGAGAGATACACAGATGGAGGTGGGAGAGAGAGGAGAGAGGACACGGAAATTGAAATAGGGTATTACCACATGCACTGATCATGCATTTGGAAGTCTTTATGACAGTCATATTTCCTACCAAAAATGTCTCTCGCTGAACCATTTATCTTACTTTGATTCTCAAATACCAAACAACCTGTACAATTGATTTTTAATCCCTAGTAAATCATTTGTGATATTTACAATCCACTTTCATCTTTTTCTTTTTTTCTTTCTCCCCAGGACAAAGTCGCAAAGATTGGTGCCGAGGCTCTGTCCTCTCGCTATGAAGCCCACTACATTTACGGCCCCATTGCATCCACCATTTGTAAGTCTCTCCCATCATCTACTGAAGCCTTGCCCTAATCCATTTTTGTTACTATTGAGAAAAATTATTATGAGCATTAGAGATCTGGGATCATTTGTTTAAAATTCAGTTTACACAGGAGATTGTGAATGTGTGAACGTAGGCAGTAGGTTATATCTGAGTTTGGGGGGGATAAGAGCTTTCTAGACAATTTATAGTAAGCCTTTACAAGGTGAAGATAAATTAGTCAATCAAAACAAACTCAGGTTTAATTTGGGCACCTTCCTGTCCCTTCTCTCTATCACCAACCATACATAACCCTGACAGGAACTAACAAGAATTACTTGAGGGCAAAGTCCACAATACCTAACCATTTTCCTTCAACTTGGATTCCTTTTTGTATGGGGCTCTTTCTTCCATGCAAGCAGAATCTTTTCCCTAGTGTCTTGTAGTGAAGATGTGTGTGTTGAGTCACACAGGACAAGGAAGATGGATCCTTTTCTCACCGACCAGTATGTTCCGCTGAAATCACCATCAGCCCAAGGAAGGCAGTAGGGGCTCAGGTTCTGCTGCTCTGGGTTTATCACCCCAGCAATGATTCTTACTTCTCACGCCTTCAGACATTCACTGCTGCTGTGTGTCTTTGAACTATGGCTGAGGTTTCTTGACTGTGGCTGTCCTGTGTTGTAAAGCATCCGTACCTCATTTCTTTTTTTCTCTACCACAGGCTTCTTTGGTTACCAACACACTGGTGCTCAGGTTGAAATTTCAACCGTTTTTATCCAGTTCTATGAATCTTCCATCCAGCACTCCTTCAGCCCAGTGTGCTGACTCTCTAGAACACAGGCTCTTGTGTTACAATACCTCCCAGCTGTCTTCTAGTCTTCCTAACCCAGATGAATCATTCTACCACAGTAACATTTACCTCTCAGATCTGAAACGTTAATGTCAGCAAACCTGCCTGCCACTTGTCCCACAGCATATATTATTTCACATAGGAAAAGGATGCTCTTTTATTACATAAGGCAAAATATATGCATGTGCATTTTTAGTACAAATGCACATATATGTGTCTAATATATATATATATATATATACATATATATATATATGTCTAGGCTGTATGTTTATACTTTTCATCTTTTTACCGGTTATTTACATCTTTAGTAGAATTTCATAATTCTACTAAAATTTGTCCTTAAAATAACTTTCTTGACCACTTAACTATAGAACGTTTGGTACTGGCAATGTGAACACTGAGAGACTTATGCAAAGAGAAAGACAGTGACTCTGCACAGCTCCTGTGGAGTGTTTCCTTGGTGATTTCCAGAAACCAGTGTCTCCTTATGAGCTGCTTGCATGTGTATTCAGCCCAAATGTACGTTTCTGAATGCAGCATGATTTTAAAATGTGTGGTGAGTCACAAATCTATAACTGTTTTGCAGATGGTACCAAGCAGACTACACTTAACTCTCATAATTATTTTTAAATTGCTAAGTTTATACTGGGAATTTCCATTGCAAGAAAAGTGTTAGCATTCATCTCTAAGTAAATATTTACTGCTTATGTTTTTCAGACCCAACATCAGGTTCCTCTCTAGACTGGGCTTATGAGCTGGGCATCAAATACACATTTGCCTTTGAGCTTCGTGATAGAGGAAAGTTTGGTTTTCTTCTTCCGGAATCCCGGATAAAACCAACCTGCAAAGAGACCATGCTTGCTGTCAAATTTATTGCCAAGTACATCCTCAGAAATGCATCCTAAGGAATTCCTCTCAGCAGGGACCACGCCGCTTACCCTTGGCTAGGGCTCTCACCTGAAAGTTGACATTAGGCTGTTCTTAGGTGGAGCCTCATCTCACCTGATGTCAGTCCTAGGTCCTTTCTTGCTTACCAAGAGCTGCGCTGTTTCTCTTTGCTCTTATATATGCCCAGTGGCACCTGAACAAAGCCCCTTCAACCAAACCGTTTCTACCTGCCTTTGCTCTAGGTGGAGTTGGTGCCCAGCAGAAAGCACTGCTTTGAGCATCCTGAGGCAGTGCGCAGGAAAGTCATGTAAACCTCATTTTCTGCAGAAGTGGGTGGTTTTTGTCTGTTTACCATGCAGCTTCATCTTTTCATGCGCTAGCATAATAAAAATATAAATGAGTAAAATGTACTCAAATACTTCACAAAAGTAGCTTTCTTTCACTGAACAATATTCTCTGCATTTCGCTATTATCATTTTAATAATCAAGCTGAATGCTTCTGCTTCAACTAATAATAGGAAATAATGTCTTGAATTTTTCAAAAACTTGGTTTGCCTAAGTTTTTTTTTTTTCTGGTAGATGTCTTTAGAGTAGCAAAAAAGGAAAGAAGGGAGGAAGGGAAGGGGAGAGGGAGGAGAGAGAGGAAGAAAGAAAGGAAGGAGGGAGGAAGGGAGGGAAGGAAAGGAAGGAAGGAAGGAAGGAAGGAAGGAAGGAAGGAAGGAAGGAAGGAAAGAAGGGAGGAAAGGAGGGAGGGAGGGAGGGAAGGGGGGAGAAAGGGAAGGAGGGAGAGGAGGAGGGAGGAAAGGAATGAAGATCACTCTTAGTTGAGCCATGGTTGGTGACACTGCTTTTCCTCACCACATCTAATTCCACCACTGCCCCTGGGCAGGAACGGATGACAGAGCAGCTCCGGTTACCCCTGGGCAGATGCCCTTCAGAGGACACTGTGCATTATGTACCATTACAGGACCGGAAGCTGGGAGTCTGAGTGGGACTCCTTGTGCTGCCACCATCATATCCAGCCAGCCGCTGTCATGCTCAGGCACCCTGCCTCCCCCCCCACCCCGGGTTGTTGTTAGACCTTAAGGCAATAGATGCTTCACCAAGGTGATCCAAGCATGTCCATTTTGTTTATATTTGGGACAAAAGACCCTCGTCTCAAAGGGAGCTGGCTCACGAGATGCTTCCTGCGCGTGAATCTCTGCTCTGGCTGGGGTCCTCCGCCCAGAGGCACCTCCCTCCAGGGGAGGCAGTGAAGTGCAGATGCCGGCAACACTGGGCACATGGTTCCCAACAAACGGTGACAATCTGGGGGTTCCAAACACAACCAAACACAAAACCGAACATAATCCTCCGTCATCTCCTCACATTGATCTCAATCCTGGAGACTCGGTTTTTATCGTTATTTGCCTTTCCTTGTTGGTTTGTGCTCATTGCTACTGATTTCTTCCTTGCTTTTTAATAATATTCAGAAAAAATATTTAATATTAATTTCCTATCTACTAGGTAGATAGAAAATATGGAACGGCTCCAATATACTAAACCAGGAAAAGTAAAAAAAAAATCTGAAATTTTACAAAATGAGTGAAGCCAGACAATTTGTGATGGTGCATGGCCAGACAATATTACAATGTCACAAAATTGACTAACATGAGAAAGGTACTAGTGTTGCCACTTAAGGAAGAAGGAAGACACAGGCAGGACATGGGGGCTGATAAGGGTCCCCTTTCTGTGCATTCAATGGTGGCACGTAGAAAATTATGGGTAGAGCTCAAATTAGGGGAAAACAACTACAAGAGCCCTTCTGAACTGGAAGGTTTTATTGTGCAAAATCACATTAAAAGCCACATTTTCTAAATAGTGAGACTAATGCAAATACAAAGCAATATTTCAAAGGTTATGCCTTTACACGGCCTCATCCTTTTTAACACAATTGTATCGCATGATTAAAAGACCCAGCCATTTTTCCATAATGAGTCATAATAGCATCTTGAAAATTTCTCCAGTGTATAGCTTACTGTCAGAATTTTCTCGGGCAAAGCTTTTGGGAGATTCCTTTGCATTTCTCTGTCACAAAATCCATTAAAGCAGGACAGGTACAACGTCGATCTGAGGGTTATAATTTTGTCATAAAAATCTGCTCTCACACGAACTTAGCATAAAAGGTCTCCGTCCAGAAAACAGGAATTGAAATGTAGAACTGATTGTGCTCACTTATCTTCAATTACATGCCTTAAGTTCACTGGCGTCAAGAAGGTTAAGTAAGCCAGAAAAATGTAAAACAATTTTTAAAATAGGAGAGGGGAATTTGACACTTAAGGTTTCAAATGCATTATTATTATTATTGCCACGGTACCACTGAAGTGTGGTTTAAAAGACTACTCCAGAAACAAAGAAAAATCCATACTACCACTTCCTATATCAAGTAATTTGCAAGAACTGTGGCTTCTGTTCCTATTGAAAGCCCCCCAAAATTCTTTTAGTCTGGTTTATAAATCTTAAACTCAAAAGATACTTAAATTTTAATGGGGGAAACAGGCAGATGAGGAGGGTTAAGTTTTGAGAACAGCAATCATAATAGCAATAATAAGCGTGGGAAAAGTAACGTTTACATGTCTGCCTCCCGTCACCAGTTGGGCAGAGGCTAGTATTATTCACATATTATAGCTTATAAAATATAGCTTTCATGCCTTGCATTCACGTTGCAAATTGAAAACTACATTTTCCCACTTCCAAAACCAAATCCACCCTTCTCTAGGAGCAAATCGGAAGATTACCTAATTGCCAAGTTATCCGTGGGAGCCCCAGTGCCCAAGCCCTGGTAAGGTACATCATCGCAGGCACCCCGACACATCCGGAGGGCCGCATGGGGTGCTCACCCCCACTGCTCACTGCAGCCACCAGGGAAGCTGGTCAAAGCCCCCGAGGGTCCTGTTCAAAAGGCCTGGAGGAGCCCAGCATTCTCCACTGTAACAGGTTCTCAAGGAACTCCTTGGGGAACTCCAGTTTGAGAACCATTGAGCCAGAGTAACTCCAGAACTTCCTCCCATCTTATTTCTGTCACTTTTTAAAATGTATTTCCAATCTTGGAAAAATAGTTCATTCGTGGGTTTTATGTCCAATTTGAAAAACCAGGTAACAGGTGGAACAGAAATAACCACTCCATTTCATGGCCAGCCTTGTGTAAGAATGGTTACCAACAAATTAAAAACGAGGTATTTGAGCCTAGGCATGTTTTTAATAGTTTAGAACTACATAGAAACATGAAGTGCAAAGGGAAAAGAATCCCTAATCCGAAACATTACCTAGCTGATTCTACACATTTTAAGACACTCAATGTTAATTCTTATGACTCTATAGTCTATGCAGTAATTGTTGAATTTTAAGATGCTTTAACATTTTATCTTAAAGGTCACATTCAAATCCATTTGGGGAATGTGACCTGTGTGACGTTGGCCGAGACCTTGGTCCACCCCTGAGAACCCTCTGCTTTAGGCACTGTGGTGAGCACTCCTTTGGCTGTGCTAACAGTAAAACGGGGCCGCATCTGTGCAGAATACCTGTGTCTTTGGAGGTCATGGTATTAGTTTCTGGGAGAATAAGAGGAGTAATGCAGTCGTGTGACCGCCATGTGACTGTGGCCTTCACAGAGACAGGCCTCAGGACACATGTGCCAGTTACTCAGGCAGAAGACTGGAAAGAAAAACAAGAAGCAAAGGTACTGAATCTTATTTCCCAGCCCCTCCCTAAAGCCTCCCTCAGAAAACTACCAGAATATTCTGCCTCTAAGTCTCATGCGGACCTGTCAGTTCCATTTTCCTGACCTCCCTTTCCTCAGACACTGGGCCAGTCTGGCCTCGTGATTCTATCACATCTGACATGTTTACATGTTTATTTTCTAATCAAATAACCTTATGGAAGGTAAAGGTTTCTCATTCCTTTCATCTTGTCCTAAACCAAACATATTTCAGACACAATTTGTGTGTGTGTGTTGTGTAGGCATGTGTGTGTGCATGTGCATGCATGTCAGATTGCCTTGCACATGCTGAGTCTGAGCTCTATCACTGACAGAAAAGTAAATGTTAAAGATTACAGAATACGGAGGCAATATTTAAATGCATAAGAGATGTCATGGAGCGCACAGAGACTTGGAGGTCACCAAAGTCAGGGTTAAGACAGGTGTCAGCACTTACAAGCATGGACCGCAGCCTGTCTGTGAATCTCAGGTGGCAGGGCCCCTGCTTGGAGGCTGTTGTGAAGACTAACAAATGGTTGCGTACAGCACGGCCCCTTGTGCAGAAGTGGGGGTACACTCAAGGCCTGTGCCCCAGGACAACTAAGTCAGAATGAAATTTTTTTCAAGCAAAAATGGCAGGTGTTAGGAAAACCCTTTCTCCTTTCCAATTTTCCACCAAATAAAACATATGGCAACATGTGTTAAGAGCTATCACTTTTCCTTTTAGATATGAGACATTTTGAATGGATTCTACCAAATCTTTTTAAAATACACCCTGAGACCTAAGTGCCATTTTATCTCTCTCCTTTGGACAGATGCCAAAACTGAGGCAAATGGCCTCCTCTGGGCCACATGGTTTACAAACATGGTGAAAGGAGAATTCAAACCAAGCAGTGGAACTGTAACATGCGCATGCCCACTCAGTACCCATTCCAACAGCCCAGTATCACCCCACAGAACCAGTGCCAGAAAGCTAGGCACATCATCTGACACCCTGACTTTGGGAAAAACTCCAGAATCTCCAGCTAAGGAGAAGATTAGAAAATGCATTCCATGCTCCTAATTTGAGAGGTCACACATCTAAAGCTCAGAACCTCTAAAACGCTACATAGAGACAAAAGAAGTGCTTGCATGTTCTAAAAAGAAAAAGGAAAAATCTAGCCAGCCCTTGGACCAAGAAGTAGACTTAAATACATTAACTAAGTAAATTAGAATAAAATTACCCCAAGCAGTGCTTTCTTAAAGCTCAGGGTTAAGTTAAGGGGGACTGCTTCCCCTCTCCCTTCAAAAATACCTGCTGAGAACACAACCAAAATTTCTTCCTAATTCAAACACATCTGGAAGCTGGTAGAGACAAGAGCCTACAACACATGAAGGACACTGAGAGAAAAGGCTTTTGGCTGCTCCACTTTTTGTTCTGTTCAAGTTTGTGGCTTTCACATAAACTGGAAATATGAGAGGGATTCATAATTAGTAAACTTGCTCATAGCAAGCCTGGATTTAGAGTTTTGAATATAAATATAAATTAACAAGTATTTACTGTTCTTTTCAGAAAACAAAAACAAAAAAACAGTCTATCAAGCACTTACCCAGAGCTGGAAGCAGAGCAATAAAACCCTGTTCCAGGCTGAAACCAAACACACCAAGTCAGAAGT